GATTGGGCATTCAGTCTGACAGATGGAAATGGATGGGATCTTTCAGAATGGTAATCTATTCTAAAAAGCCAGCTACTGAAAAGCCGGCTTCCCTTCTGGTTGGCAATCTGGATAATTCTATTCTTGCCTGTCCATCCTTTGCATCATATATATATTTGCTTTTTTTTTGTGTAAATAAATTGTGTGATTGAGTTCCTGCATGTGCCCCCTGGCTGCTACATTCATTCTTATAGAGAAAATTTACTTTGATAACGGTTATGCTTCTCAGGAGCACATCCTTGGCAGACAGAGGATTATGGCTGTCATGTTATAGTTGAATCAATGAGGAACAAACTGAGGCCAGATATGGTGCATTGCACATTTGGATCCAAGAAGCCATATGTCTCTGCAGCTTTACTCTCTAGAGTTTGCTGCTTAGTGGCTTCTGCAGGGCTGGTGTGAGAGCATTTAAAAAGGCATACCAATTGGGAGAGCTTTAGTTACTGGAAAATTACTCTGTTTTTCTCTTCCCTGCATCTGTTTCAGAGTCTTTTCTTTTTACTGTTATCTGCCATGTACTGAAGTTGGTATAATGAGAGTCCTTTGGCTGGAGGAGCTGCTTCCTTTCATCTTCTCCCAAAGTTTTAAGAACCACTTTGGCAATCATCTTTGTTTAACCTAACGCCAGAGCTGGCTTTACGTGTTCGTAATTCAACTGTATGAAAAAGGCTACAAGGAGTTTTTTGAAGTAATTTTTGTGTCAAATTACTGAAACACTTGGTTAACCTCAAAAACATAAATTTAAAGAAAGAAAGAAGGAACTTGGGTTGCCTGCTAAAAATGTACTCCAGTACAAGAAAATGGAGTTTATTTTGGTAAATATATAATCCAAAATATTTGGTATAGATAATGAAACAATATAAAGCATGCATAGCTTGTAAAATAAAACACACATTTCTAGCCTTGAGAATAAGCTGAAGTCCGGATGTGGTGACTGAGTTAATTTCTCTAACACGCGTTCTGCTATTTTGAATTGTACGATCTTCCATGCTTCCTTGTTTCCCTCCTTGTTTGAGAATGGAAGAATAAATGGAGAAGACGATGTTTCAAAGCTGTTATGTGATTTCCAAACAAAGTGAACTTCTGTTTTTAAAGATTATAATAGGCCTATCTAGGACCCAAGTCAAGATTCTCTTGATTCAGGGATATAGGATTATTCTGATGTAGCTACTCTATGTATTAGAGGTCCTTCTTGATTACAAAGTAATTAATACGATTATTAAATCCAATTGAAGAGACCAGAAGTACAACTTTAAGATAAATATATACATAGAAACCAAAGTAATGATTGAGAGCTGGAGAAAAGAAGTAAAAGCACAAAAAAAGCTTTTTGACGTACGGGACTATTGATCAGAGAATTGAACAGAGGGGAGAAAGAAACAGGAGCTATATTGTGAGTGGTTTTAGTTTTATGTCACAGATTTTCCTTTAAGGGTTGTTTTTTAACAGTATTGCTTTCTTTTTTAGTTTGAACTGGCCCTTTAAAAATCATATGGGATGGATATGACCTTGAAAAATAATGGGATTTAAAATTGTTTTGACTCTAGTGCAGCCATAGTCTACCCCATAAAGGTTCCTTTTTGTCAGCACCTTCTCAAGTCGTACAAGTTTCCACTGCTTCAGCACCACAGGGTATATCTGCTACACTCGGTACCGTAGGTGAGCTGGAGAGCTGTATTGATGTCCAAGACCCCAGAGCCCTGCACGCCAGTATTGTGTGTCAGTAGGACAAAGGGATGGCGCCAACCGTCCTGCTGTACGCGCCAGTAACTAGAATTAATTACAAACCAATCGAATCCGTTGCAGCCAATTGGTAAACTAATTGGTAATTTTAGCTGTACATCTATATGTAGTTATCTGGATGCCTGTAACGGCGCTTTCAGAGCCACTTTTGTTCTGCTTCATCCTGCTTGACAAAATGGCCCTCATAGCTTTAGGGAGAAAGATGTGCATCAGTGAATATGGGGCCGCTCCAGCTGCTTGTCTTGTTTGTATTCCCTTGTTCGTAAAACATGACTCGGGTTACAGCTGCATGGTTCTGCTCTGATCATTTCTGATAATGTATAGCTAAACATTCCTTAAAATAGGTTAAGCCATTTATTGTATTTTTTTTCCTATGCCAAGTAACTTCAGAAATATAACTCATATTCAGATTGATTCCTTTTTTTTTTGTGAGGAATATCTCAGTGGCAGGCTTGAAAAGTAAATGATTCAGAATTAAATTTTGCTTTCTATGCTCTTATTGTTAGTAACAGTCAGCACAACTTAGTATGGGCTAACCTAAATGGATGTGAATTGAATTAGAAAGCTGAAATTTTATTAGTGAAACTGAAAAAAGAACTGGCTAAAATACTTGACTTGTTCATTTCTTGTAGCAGACTTTACTTAGGAATTATTGTGGTGCTGTAAACCAACTGCCTTGTAAGAAAGATTTTTGTTAGCTTTTTTTGTGGAGTATTTCAAAACAAAGAACAACTTTTACATCAGCAGTGGTATTCTGTTTGATTTCCCTTGTGTTTGACTTTCTTGTGACTTCTCCCATATAACAACCAGCATATGCTCTAGATCTGTCATACGTACTAGTTGAAAGGATACTTACGTGAAAACTGAAGCTGAATTTCGAACTTGCATTTGTGTTAAAATGAATAATCATCTATATAATTTTATATGAAAAAGTATTTTGCATACATTAGAGGTCCTTTTTCTATTGAAAGGACAATTAAAAGTAAAGGTGAATGGGACATGATGTTACAAAAATGTGCATTAGCTGTACTGTAGTAGAGTGGTTTTACTGTTTTCAGTGCTAAAAGTTTTACTGTTAAAATTTGTAGTTATACACTTAGTAACCAATACATTTTCGTTTGTAATTGTTCCCAAAATATTTCTAAGTAATAATTACTTGCTTTGAGCAGAAAATTTCCCT